TGGCAAACAATGAAGTTAAAAATAGAAAAACAATGGAGAAAAATCACTGAAACCAAAAATTGGTTCTCTGAAGAGGTCAACAAAATTGATAAAATTGTACCTGGACTAAGAAAATAAAGAGAACACAAAACAACCAAAATCAGGAACGAGAGGACATCTTTACACTACAGAAATTAAAAGGATCACAAATATCATGAATAACTTTATCTCAACAAAGTAGACAACTTAGATGAAGTGGCCCAATACCTAGGCACAAATTCCTAAGACTCAAATTATCAAAACTTACTCAAGAGGGTATGGAATATATGAATGGACCTATAACAAAGAAAATGAATTAGTAATTAAAAATCTTCCTACAAAGAGAGCCCAGGCTCAGTGGCTTCATTATAAATTCTGTCAAACATTTAAAGAAGCAATAATATGAATCCTTCACTAACTCTTATCATAAAGTAGAGGAGGGAACACTTCCAGTTCTTTCTATGAGGACAGTATTATCCTGATGACAAAGCCAGACAAAGATATAAGAAAACTGCAAACCAATATCCTCATGAACACAGATGAAAACATTTTAGATCAAATATTAGCAAACCAAATTCAGCAATATATAAAAATGAGTTATATACCATGACCAATTGGGATTTATTCCAGGCATACAAGGTTGGATTCAGAATTAACAAACCAGGATTCAGCAAATGTTCTCTTAAAAGCCTTGGTGGTAAATATTTTAGGCTTTCAGAGCATATAGTTGGCATTGGAACTACTCAACTCTGCTGTTGTACTGCAAAAACAACCATAGGCAATATGTAAATAAATGGGCATAGCTATGTTCCAGTAAAATTTTATTTACAAAAATAATTGGCTCACAGATCATAGTTTGCTGACCTCCTATTAATAAGATAAAGGTTTAAAAAAAAAACCCACACCATCATCACTTAGTAGACACAGAAAAAAATTTGCCAAGACCCATTCATGATAAAATAAACAAACTAGGAATGGAAGGCAACTCCTGCAACTTGATAAAGGGCATCTATTAAAAGCCTAAAGCTAACATAATGGTTAATCATGAAATATAAATGCTTTTCCCCTAAGACTGGGAACAAGGTAGGTAAGAATGTCTAATCTTAACACTTCTTCTCAACATTCACTGAAGGTTTTTAGCTAGTGCTTTAAAGGGAAAAGGGATCTAAATTAGAAAGAATTCAAACTCTCTTTATTCATAGATGACATCATGTATAATCCTAAGTAATTCACAAAAAAACAAATAGAACTAATTGAGTTTAGCAAGGTGATGGTGCCAGATCAATATGTAAAAATCAATTATATTTTCATGTACTAGCAATAATCCAAAAATGAAGGAAAAAAATTCTACTCCATTCACAATTAGATCAAAAGAATAAAGTACTTAGGAATAAATATAACAAAAGTACAAGATTTGTACGCTAGAAACTATGAAGTATTGGCTGAGAGAAGTTTAAAAAGGCCTAAATAAATGGGGAAACATTCCATGTTCATGGATTAAAAGTCTAAATATTGTTAATAAATATTAAGATGGCAGTTTCCCCCCAATTGATGTATTGATTCCATATAATCTCTATTAAAAAATCCAGCAGACCTTTTGTACATAATCCTGTAATTAATGTAGAAATTCAATAAAACATCTAATGCAATTTTGAAAAATCAAAGTTGGAGGACTTACATCACACAATTCCAAAAATTACTATGAAGTCACAATAATCAAGACAGTGTGATATTGCTGTAAGGATAGATGTTAGAACTGAATTGAGAGTCCAGAAGTATATCCTTATGTATGTAGTCAATTGTTTTTTTGCACTTCATGATAAAATATTTCATTGAGAATTATGTATGTACACACACACACAGGAAAGTACACATAAGTATATATAGCTTGGTGAATTTTCACAAACCAACTACATCTGTGTAATTAACACCCACAACCAAAAACAGAACCTAGTATCCCAGAGACTCCCTTTGTGCTCTTCCAGTTAATACCCCCTACTCAGAGTAACCACTCTTCTGGCATCTAATGCCATAGATTTGTTTTGCTTAATTTTGCACTCCATATACATTAAATCATGTAGTAAATACATGTTTGTGTCTCTTTTGCTCAATATTTTTTGAGACTTATTCACAATTGTAATATATGGTTAGAATTTATTCATTTTCAATGCTGTATAAAATTCCATTGTATGGTTGCTCATGTGAAACCTTCATAAGATTGTACATCAATGATAACCTATCAAAAAAAAGATTGTATACCAGTGATATCTTAAAAAAATTTTCTTTGTATGAATATACCACAATTTATCTATTCTACTGTTGCTAGGCATTTGCATAGTTTCCAGGTTTTGACTATTACGAATAGTTCTACTATCTAATACATTCTATTGTTTTGATGTATATTTTATATTCTGCATTTACATTTTACATTTGCATAACATGTTCTAGTGTTTTGATTTGCATATATATGAATTTCATGTTTTCTATCCACAGTTCCTGGTGAACTTGTACCCCACACTCGTTTGGTGAACTCTGTTACTCAGCCTTGCAGTCAGTGTATTCTATGTAGTCAACTGGTTTTTAACAAAGTTGCCAAAACAATTCAGTGAGAGAAAGGATATTTTTTTTCAACAAATGGTGCAGTGAAAATTGGATATCTGTATGCAAAAAAAAAAAAAAATGAAACTCAGATCCTTAATCTACACTAGACACAAAAGTTAACTCAAAGTGGATCATATATCTAAATTTTCAGTTACGAAATATTTCGAAGAATATCTTTGGGACCTTGGGTTGGACAACAGCTTCCTAGATATAATACCAGTGGCCACAGCCATTAAAGAAACATTTGATAAATTGGCTCCATTAAATTTGTTTGTACTTCAAAAGACGTAATTAAGAAAGTGCTATATATAGAGAGGAAGTATTTGCATATATGATTAAAGGAGTTTCCAAATTTTATAAAGATCTCTTACAACTCAATAAGAAGACAACCCAGTTATTAAAAATGGACAGAAAGTAATGTATAATACCACTTACTTGAGATAACTAGAATAGACAAATTCATAGAGACAGAAAGTAAAATAAGGTTGCCAGGAGAAGAGGGGAGTGGATAGTTATTTAATGGGCACAAAGCTTTTGTTTAAAAAGTTCTACAAATGGATAGTGGTGGTGGCTGCACAACATTGTGAATTTAATGACACTGAACTGTACATTTAAATATGGTTAAAATGGTAAACTTATGTATTTTATATCACAAGAAAAAAATGAAAAGATTAAAAATATGAGACAAGACTTAACAGACATTTTATCCTATGAAAAGGTGCTCAACATCATCAATTATTAGGGAAGTACAAATTAAAATCACAATGAATTTCCACTGCATACCCTCTGGAATGGCTACAGTCAAAAAGACTAAAAAATGTTCTAAAAAGTATTGGTGAGGATATATAGAAACTAGAAACCTGCATTATTACGGGAATGTTAAATGGTACAGTCACCTTGGAGATCAGTTTGGCAATTTAATAGAAAGTTAAACTTAATTATATCATGCAGCAGTTCCGCTCCTAGGTATCTGCCTAAGAGAAATAAAATCATGTCCACACAAAGACCTATATGTGACTGTTCATAGCAATATTTATAGTAACCAAAACCTAGATATGTTCCAAATGTCCATCAACTTGCGAATGTGTGTGGAATACCCATATAATGGAATGCTATTTGACAATAAAGAATGAATTACTTGTACATGCTGCAACATGGATAAACTTCAGAAGTATTATGCTAAGTAAAAAATCTAACTCAAAAGACTATATATTGTATGATTCCATTTATATCAGGCGTCCAGAAAAGGCAAATTTATAGAAACAGCAATTCAGTGGTTGTCTGGGGCTAAGGTAGAAGTGGAGACTGATTGGAAACAGGTTCAAGGGGGGTTTTTGGGATTTTGAAATGTTTTAAAATGGATTGCTATGATAGTTGCATAACGCTGTAAGTGAATAAATAAAAGTCAATGAATTGTACCCTGACAATGGATTAATTTTAGGATATATAGATTATACCTAAATAAAAAGTACCTAGGATTGTTTGATAGGAGGAGACGTTTAGATAAAATGGTTTAAGTTCATCAGTGATGCCCTGTTGATGACGTGTGATATGTGTCATTAGTTTTGGCTTAGAAGTCTCCACTTTCCTTGTGCTTACCCTGTGTAAAGCCTTACCCTATGTGCTGCCCTATTGAAGAGGCCATTAGAAAGAATTTTCTCCTTGTTTGGGAGGACTGACTGTAGTGTGGCTCTGATGAAACATCTAGGCTGATGACACTTACCTACACAAGAATGCCTTCTTTCAGCTCCAGGTTATAGAATAACCTCAGCTATATATATATCTTGCTAACCTGTGCTGCTGATTGACAAGTAGGTGAGAGTTTGGAGAGCAAGGGAATCTTGTCTACTGACAGTGGGGAACCCATGGAGCGGTACCATCGAAGACCAGGATGCTTTGGGCTGTAATTACGTGTGCTGTTTGCAGAGCACTTTGCACTGTGTTTTTGCAGTAACCTCAAAACAACCCTGTGGGACAGGAGAGAGGTATCTCTGATTCCCCTTTTACGGAGAAGTAAGACTTACAGGGTGACTGATTTTTCCAAGAGCATAGATCCATTGCAGAGTGGGCTTAAATTCGAGTTTTGTGACTCAATATCCCAAATAATTTCTTCTATACAATTTTGCCTCTATTGTTTACTGGGAAGAAGAGAAAAAGGGGCATGTGATTAATTGATTGCATGTGTTTTTCATTAGATTTAGTTGATCTGAAGAATAAGAGGGGAAGTTGGGCTACAGTTTAAATTCAGGGGTTCTATAGCAAGCATAATCAAAATAGGTTTTCCCTAGTTTCTGGTACCTATTAAAATTATACCTGGGTCAGACTGTAATTCATGGCACAGGTGACTTGAAGGTATTCTGTGCTTGGTTCAAGGAGCAGACCACTTCCTAAGTTACAAATATAATTGTGCCAGAATCATAAAGAAGTTCATTTGACAAACATTTATTGTCTGTTACATGTCAGGTCCCTTGCCAAGATATGGGATCATAAGGTCCAGTGGATCTCATGGAGATACAGCTTGAGAGAACAGGAATAGGCTGGGATTTCCTTCATTGTGTTCATTCACTGAGGTTGATGTGTCTGCCCTTCAAAGAACACCTTCCACCATGGCTCTGGAGCCTGTTCTTTCTACTGTCCCTGCAGCTGTGCTTTCTACAGGTCCCCTTTCTTGATAAGTCTGTCTTTTCTTCCTTTACACTGTTGATTCTTCCATCTGCTTTTCAGCCAAAAATAAGTAGATCTTCACATCTGAAAGAAACCTTTACTTTTAAAAAAAGACATTTAAAAATAATTTTTCTTAATTGTTGAAATAGTTCATGCTTACTGCTAAACACTTGGAAGACACAGATGAGTTGTAAGTAATAAACATAAAAATCACCTTTACTTCTGCAACTTAAAGATTGCAACCGTTAACAGTTCCGCTTTCAGTTTGTTTGAACTTCCAGTCTGCTTTTTACTTGCTGTCAGCTAGTGCATACTTGCTCATGTGTGCACGTGCATGCATACGCACACGCACACACACACACATCTTAGTATTTTGTTGTGTCAGGCTCTGTGTGAAATATTTTGCATGCATTCTTACTCTTCAAGTAGTCCTGTGAAGTAAATATTATCATATCTCCTATTTACAGATGACCCAAATTTAAAGAGTAAGTAACTTGCAGAAGTTCACATCTTTGATAAGTAATGGAGCTGGAATTTTTACCCTTCATATTTAGTCCAAGCCCTTCATACTTAACCTTTCCAGAAATTTTTTTCTTATCCATGACTGTTACTCCAAAGTTGTTCTCTCCAAGACTGTTAGTAACTTTTTTTAATTCCTGCCTTCTTCTCCAGCCTTGTCTCATGACTTCTTTCCTGCCTTCTATGTGCTTTCGCCACACTTTCAGTTTTGCAAAAACACTAAGCCTCTCTGGCCAGTTAACATGCCCTCCATTCACTCTGCTTGGAATGCTCACCCCACCTATCTCCGGTAATTACATTTACCCTTCAAGTCTTCACTTAAACATCACTTTCTTGAGGTCACTTCCCAGATCTTTCTCACCCCCAAGATTGAATTGGTCCCATCTATTTTTGCTCTCATTGTATCTGTTTTTCTCTCTTGCAGAACTTTTCACACTTAGAATTATGTGTTCATTAGAACTTGGTCTGCCATTTTCACTATACTTTTGTTTCCTCTACCTCTCCTGGCTTCTGTTGTAGTGCAGAGTAGGTGTCCAATAACTATTACATATCGTTTTCTTTCTGTACTTACAGCTCTCTGCTTATAAATCACAAATGTGCATCTTCTGTTCAAAAACTGAACTCCTCTTTCTTCCAGTTTGAAATTGCTTATTTCTTAGGGCATTCCAGGCTCCTAATCTAGTCAAAGAGAGTTGGGTACCATTCTTGACTCCTCGCTGTCTTTTCTGTTTGAGGCAGTTCCTCGGAAAGTGGATCTGGTCTACTGACCTGGTAAGATGGCTGCAGTATTTGAAATGAGAAAAGGTTACACAACATTATGTATAATTTGTAATAGTTTCTTTAAATATAAACACATATATTTAAAATATCTCTGAAATGTTTGCGAGGATATACACTGAACAGAATGACAGGAGGGGCCAACTGGTGAGTATCAGTTTTCTCTTGTGTGTGAATTTTTCAGTGACTACATAGTGCTAAAAAAATATCTTATTTTGAAAATTAGAAAATATCCAAAACCAAAAACTAAAGTGCATTTTGAGATATGCTTTCCATTCTTTCCATTTCTGCTGCCTCTGTTTTAGCTCAGCTTGTTTATGTAACAGATTTCTCTCTCTTTTTCTCTCAAATGCCTCTTCCCTTCCACTTCATCTGCTTGGTGAATCTTCCCAAGTCTTAATTTTCATTATCTCATTTTGGAGCTCAACACTTAACTGAATCCCTTTTGCATTAATTCTAAATTTTCTGTCTAGCTCACAAGATTTTCTGTAATTTGTGTTTTTAACTTTAAAGTGCTGCTCCTTATGACTCCCTAACAAAGTCTATGAAATACTCTGCTCTTGTCCCCTATATATGCCACATATATTGCTCTGTTGCAGGTATTTATTACAGTCCCATCTGCAGAAAACACTCTTAAATTCACATAACTATCTTCCTATAGCACATAATTTGCACAGGATTTGGTGGCTGAGATATATTTTTTTCACTGTCATATTTAAAGACATCTGTATAAATAAATCGCATGCTTGTTCAGGCGTACATTTTTTCAAAGTACATGGCAGACACTCTTTTCTAATGTTTTCAGATAATTTGTAAATAAGAGGGTGGTTAAAAATAATACCTAGAATGCACGGCATCCTGAAAAACAACAATATGTGTATTACCTTCTATGTGTGCCCCAGTATGAAAGAAAGCAAACTTTCTCATTTCCATAAAGACATCTTGGGTGGAGCAATCATCTCAATTTAACCTTGTTCATTGGTTAGGTTCTTTAGGTAGGTTTTAGTTTTTGAGAGAGCATAAATTTAAATGCATCTGTTTCTATAATACATCAGACAGTTTGATGTGTGATTGGCTGCCACACATTGTGCAAAGTTTTACTGTATACTGAAGACAGATACTCAATAGCAACTTAAGTATGGCCATACTTGTCCATGCTCAGAAGAGTTGTGGCAATATCAGATGTTGGTGCAAAAATTTGGGCAATATTTGTAAAGTGAATGTCATGAGGGTGGTGGTAGGAAGCTGGCTGGTATTAAGACAGTGGATGCAGATTTGCTTTGGGGCTCAAAAACCACCTGGTGATCTCATTATTACAAGATGCAGATTGTAGGGCCTTCCTCTGGTCTAGGGTAGAACTCAGAAATCTGCATTTCTGAAAGCAGATTTGCATTTTTCTTTTGGCTTTGATTTCTCTTTTTAGTACTTGTCTCACTATACCTTCCTATCCCTGAAAAAAATTTTGGAAGGCTAGTTGACAAAACTCTTCTATTGCCTATTTAATTTGATTTTTGTTAAGAGAGTCTATTTCTATAATAAGTTATTTGTGACCAAGGCCCTTGTTTCCTGTCATAATGAAATATTTAGTCGATCATCTCATTCATGTTAGAGTATTCAAAGAATTACTATTGCATCTTAAATTTTGTTAAGAAAAATTATGTATATATTCCATCTCACTTAGGTTTTTTTTTTTCTCATTTGAGGGACATGGATTGCAAAGGTCAGAATGAATAGGCCTCATAGTTTTCATCAAAAGAGAATATTTAAGTACGTTTGAGTAATAATAACCAGGGTATTCATTCTAAGGCATATCCTGGGTATTTAGAAGAGTAAGTATGATATAACAAGATTGTTGTGGAAGGCTATCTATAATGCATAACTGAGTGAAAAAACAGATTGTACAGCAGTAAGTATAAAATAAGCTCATTTTTGCTTAAGCCACCCTCCCAAAGACCCACAAAATTATAGATATATATCTGTTTGTGCATGGACAAAGGTTTCCAAGAATATAAATGTTTGGTTTATGATATTTACTTTTTACTTTAATAAATAATGGATAACATAATAAGTATATTGGTTATTTATAACAAATTGTTAAAACTTATTTATTATATTAATAGGTGATTTCCACTGAAGAAATGGATTTCCATGAGGAAAGGGCTTTTCAATTTTTTACTTCATATGTTTCTACATTTGAGTTTTAAATAATGGACATGTGATTCTTTTTAATTTAAAAACTATGAAAGCATTGGTTTTATAATATGGTGTGAGTCAAGATATAAATCTTATTAAATGCCATTTCCTTAACTTAAAAAAAAAACGTCTTTTTAAAAGAAGGGAAAAGCAAAATACTAGAAATTTAGAGAATTTATTCCATAATAGAATCAAAGGGAGCAAGAGAGACTTTAGCCAGTATTTTAGAGATAGCAGCAGCTCCCACCCAGCCCAGCAGCTGATGCGCCCAGGTGACTCTCTGCATATGCCTTTATTTCCCTTAGGTTGTTTGGTCCGCAGTTTGCATTCATTGGTCAGTGAGTTGATTCAGACTCAAACCCACCGACAGCAATGAATGTTGAGTGCAGCCATCAGTGTTCCTATTTGGTGGAGTTGCCTTGACCGTCCCCAACTCCTGACTGTTCTTTTCCACACTGGTTCTTTGAGGTCTGTGTCTGACATCTCTCTTAGTAATCAACAGTTGAAGGCCTACATATTATAGATAACGCTGACACTAGAGCTGGGAGGTTCTTAAAGATGAAGAAACTGTGGTTCAGAGAAGGGAAGGAGCTCCTGGCGAAGTTAACAGGTGGCTCTTTGACTGCATAGGCAGTGCTTGCATCCTGGTGGTGTAAGCAAGAGTTGAGGATCTGTGTTTTTCCTCTGTTTTGAACTGAGATGTATGAGTGCTTTTCAAGGTAAATTAGCACAGGTTATATTTTGGATTAAATAAGAATAGTAGCTTACATATATTGAACATTTGCTCTGTGCTTGGAATGGTACAGAGTGCTTTATATAAATCTCTTTGAATCTCAAAACTCCATTAGGTATTCTTATTATCCCCCATTTTATACATGAGAAAACTGAGACTCAGACACTTGTACAGGGTCACAGAGCTAGTTAGGGAGTTGAGCCAACATTCATCCCAGATATGACTCCAAACTGACTTTTTACTTAAATTTAGTAAACACTTAAATAAGCATATGTGTGGATGGAAATAGGCAATAGCTGCTTTCAAACAGCTCATATTCTAATGGGGCTGTCAAACTTAACCACATTTAACTATAATTGGGGGCAGAATATGATAAAAGCTGTGTAGACATTGGACAGTTTGGTGCTATTTTTGCTCATCAAATCCTCCCCTTTCCCCTAATTAAAGTTTTGAGGGGGCTTGGGACAAATGGGTATAAAATACTTAATTGGACTTTTCTCCAAAACAGAATATATGTTTTTAACAAATCTCTCTTTGCTACATCTTGTTTGTCACCAAAATGGCATATTTCTAGGAGACATTTAAGTACATTCGATACTATCATGGAGCTCTCCTGATCTTGTTGAAAAAAAGCATGTGTTTGTGAAAAACATAACAAAAAGCAAGGAACAATGGGAAATAGAGGGGAGCTTTTAAAAAATTCACTGGACGACCTTTGGGGTATAGGCAGTAGAAGTGGTTCTGGTGATCTCATGTGACATTTGAAGATACAGCCTGCTCTTTTGCTTCAGGAAATGTAGTGATGTCTGTAAGGACCCCATGGTACAGTCAACGGTCGATGGTTTTTTCAAATCCCAAACTCACCGACAGCGTTGAATGTTCCTTGGAGTCCTCTGAAGGCTGGGTTCTGGCCTGGCAGCTTTTCTTCAGCCTGCAGCCATGTTCAGGAGCCAGTGAGCAGTGAGACCATGCTGATGGAGGCTCCCACATTCTTTTCCAGGTTTCAAGTTGAGAGTATTTAAATTATGAAATCGATTTGTGTACAGCAGAGAACTGCAGTTATTTATAAAAGCAGATTCTAATGGGTGTCTGAGAAAATGGCTGTGAATAGTATTACTTTTTTTTTTGAGTGTGTTCTTTTCTTTTCTTTTCTCTTTTATTTTTGTATAATTAATGTACAATTAAATGAGCAACATGGTGGTAACTAGATTCCCCCTATTATCCAGTCCCCACACATAACCCATTACAGTCACTGTCCATCAGCGTAGACATCACTACTGATGCTACAGAGTCACTACTTGTCTTCTCTGTGCTATAGTGCCTTCCCTGTGCTCCCTCCTACATTATGTGTGCTAATCATAATTTCCCTTATTCCCCTTCTCCCTTCCTTACCACCACCCCCCCTTTGGCAACTGTTAGTCTGTTCTTGGGTTCTGTGATTCTGCTGCTGTTTTGTTCCTTCAGTTTTTGCTTTGTTCTTATGCTCCACAGATGATTGAAATTACTTGGTACTTGTCTTTCTCCGCCTGGCTTATTTCACTGAGCATAATACCCTCTAGCTCCATCCATGTTGTTGCAAATGGTAGGATTTGTTTTCTTCTTATGGCTGAATGATATTCCATTGTGTATATGTACCACATCTTCTTTAATCCATTCATCTACTGATGGACACTTAGTTTGCTTCCATTTCTGGGCTATTGTAAATAGTGCTGCGATAAACATAGGGGTGCATATGTCTTTTTCAAACTGGGCTCCTGCATTCTTAGGGTAAATTTCTAGAAGTGGAATTCCTGGGTCAAATGGTATTTCTATTTTTAGTTTTTTGAGGAACCTCCATACTGCTTTCCACAATGGTTGAACTAGTTTACATTCCCACCAGCAGTGTAGGAGGGTTCCCCTTTCTCTGCATCCTTGCCAGCATTTGTTGTTCCTAGTCTTTGCTATGTTGGCCATCCTAACTGGTATGAGGTGATACCTGATTGTAGTTTAATTTGCATTTCCCTGATAATTAGCGATATGGAGCATCTTTTCATGTGCCTGTTGGCTATCTGAATTTCTTCTTTAGAGAAGTGACTGTTCATATCCTCTGCCCATTTTTAATAGGGTTATTTGCTTTTTGGATGTTGAGGCATGTGAGTTCTTTATTTATTTTGGATGTTAACCCCTGTCAGATTTTTCATTTGCAAATCTATTCTCCCATATGGTAGGATGCCTTTTTTTTCTGCTGATGGTGTCCTTTGCTCTACAGAAGCTTTTTTAGCATGATGTAGTCCCATTTGTTCATTTTTTATTTTGTTTCCCTTGCCCAAGGAGATGCGTTCAGGAAAAAGTTGCTCATATTTATATTCAAGAGATTTTTGCCTATGTTTTCTTCTAAGAATTTTATGGCTTACATTCAGGTCTTTGGTCCATTCTGAGTTTAATTTTGTGTATGGGGTTAGACAATAATCCAGTTTCATTCTCTTGCATGGAGCTGTCCAGTTTTGCCAACACCAACTGTTGAAGAGGCTATCATTTCCCCATTTTATGTCCATGGCTCCTTTATCATATTTTAATTGACCATATATGCTTGGGTTTATATCTGGACTCTCTAGTCTGTTCCATTGGTCTGTGGGTCTGTTCTTGTGCCGGTACCAAATTGTCTTGATTACTGTGGCTTTGTAGTAGAGCTTGAAGTTGGGGATTGTAATCCCCCCTGCTTTATTCTTTCTCAGGATTGCTTTGGCTATTTAGGGTCTTCTGTGGTTCCATATGAATTTTAGAACTATTTGCTCTAGTTCATTGAAGAATGCTGTTGGTATTTTGATAGGGAGTGCATTGAATCTGTAGATTGCTTTAGGCAGAATGGCCATTTTAACAATATTAATTCTTCCTATCCATTAGCACAGGATGTGTTTCCATTTGTTGGTATCTTCTTTAATTTCTCTCATGAGTGTCTTGTAGTTTTCTGAGTATAGGTCTTTCACTTCCTTGGTTAGTTTTAGTATTACTTTCTAATTGTGAAAGTGTCAAATATCCTCTTATAGAAGTATATTAATTATTAAAAGAGGTTAAGAAAGAAATGAACAAGTATTGAAGACCCTACTTTGTCCTGGGATTTGTATATTTTTATCTCACTAAATTTTCAACAACCCATTTTTCATTAGGAGAAAACTGAGTCTTGGAGAAATGAAGTGATTTGCCCAAAGTTGCATAGCCAGGACCTGAGGTTACAAGCCAGAGCTTGAATACTGGACTTCATGATTGCAAAGCTCACAGATCATACTGCCTCCTCCCATGTCCACCACAAAACTTACTATTGTATATCTGGGAGTAGAACCACAGAAGTTCAGTAAGAGTAGTAGTCTGCAAATTATTTTCTGTATTGAAGAAGCAAAAAATAAACAAAAAATACCCACCATCTAACAGAAAGCCTGCATTTCTCCTCTGAAAGGTCACAGGAGAGTCACTAAATTGTCAGGTGTCTTTGCTTTTGCCAGAGAAAGGGTATTACAGACATACTGATTATTTTTCATTGGCTGTTGAATATCCTTGGTGAAAAATCTAGAAAATGAATTAATTATATGGAACTTAAAAAAAAGTTTTTTTATATGGACTTCTCAGAATGTGGAGTTTATAATGGGAAGAATCTAGGAGTTCTCAGAGAAGGGGCTTACCTACCTACCTGTTGGCTGAATTGAGGTTAATCTTTAATCAGAGATAGTTATTGCCATTTGCTTTGGGTTTAAATATTAAAGGTTGGTTGTTCTCAAATTTATTTTTAAAGTAGACAAGTAGTACATATTAAAACCACTGAAAATTTTCTTGGATATAAACTGTTTACATTCTACATCAGTTTAATTATTTTCACCCTCTGTCAAAGTAGTCCAGTTAGCCAGCTTTATTGAGTTCTCCGTGTTGCAATAATAATGTATACAAACAACAACAAAAAAGCAACTGTTATTGTGTAGGATTTAAAAAACTCTTTAATGGGTTTATTTTAAATGCCTTTCCCTTCGCCTGATAACATGAATAGATATTAATACCTTCTACCATTTGGATAAAAATTAAGATTTTAAAAAAATACTGACTTCTACTACCCTAAACCATTTGATGTTTACAAAGTACCATGGTTTAAATTCATGGTGTTCTAAAAAGAATGTTTTTCATAGACTTGACAAACTATAGAAGAGTGAAAAGTAGGTTTCTAGAATGACATAGGGGTGTTCCCATTATGTTTGAGATAATTTTCATGACAATTAAGGCCTTCATCATCCTCATTTCTTTAATTTGCTTTAAGTCCTTAATTTTAGTTCTAATCAGCAAGCAAGTTTAAGGCACACTTTGGATCTCTTAATGGATAAGGAGTTTATGTACTGAATGTAAAGATAAAGTGTAAGGGTTAAAAGTCAGAGTTACAGAAGCTATACATTTAATAAATTGGTTCAACTATTTAATTCTTGGTTTGGACTGTTTTTGAGTTTTTCAAAACTCACCATGTCATCCTTTACCATTTCACTTACCTCCTTTCTTTCCTTTTCCAGAGGTACTATGAAACACCGAAACCCACACTGCTCCAACTTGGAGATACAAATGTTTTCATAGTCCTCTTGAGGCCTCTTGTTATACTTCAAAGAAATGAGAAGCATAAACTGAATAAAATAATACATGTGAGGGATCAATAGCAGAGAAAAGGGAAGATATTCCAGTAGAGGGAAAACTGCACAGAAAATCCTACAGAAGTAGGAAAATTCATATAATGATAAGTAGTGAGATTACCCTGTCAGAGCATGAGTAAATTCTTCTTTAAAGTATAGGACAAATAGCACTTACCTTTGCCATGCACAAGGCTGTGAAAATCAAATGAGGTTGTGTGTGCGAAAGTAGAATGCAAATGAAATTACTTGGTGTCTCTCTTCTTATTTTTCTTGGTTCATATGTGCTAAAATAGAATAAATGAAGTACCTTATCATGATAGACTTTTCCAAACTAGATTCTTACTTGGCTTTCTCTTTTTTCCTTTCAAATGACCATTATTTAAAATTTTTATATAGTAAATGTTTGGAGCTGCAATATTATAGCATAATAAAGACTTGAAGTTTGGAGCCAACATCTGGACTTTGCAACTTACTGGCCATGTGACCTTGGACAAATTACTTAACTCTCTGTTTCTCTGTTTATCTATAGAATGGAGATAACGGTAGTATCTGCCTCATAGTTTTGAGGACTAAATGAGGTAATATATATCAAGTGTATAAAATGGCACATGACACATGTTAGAAGTTGCATGTATTTTTGTATGTTATTTGAAATTTATTTAAGTAGTAAAAATCATTTACAACTACTATTTACATGTTACTAAATAAAATAGCATGCTTTGCCCAGAATTTGTTTTCTACTTCATATACACTAATAAACAGTCATGAAAAAGTTATTTTTATAGTTAAAACAATCTCTGACTAGTTACTGCATTGTACATGTACATATGTGTGTTGTTTTGAAGATAGTTTTGAAAAAAAATTTTTTCTTTGTGGCCTTAGGTAAAGTTTGTATCTCCTATAGGCCTCAATTTCCTTACTGCATAAAAATAAGAATAATATTTAGTATCTAATCTCATAATGATTGTCTTAAGTGAGGTAATACAATAAAAAACTGAAAATCTATAGATTCTCTCTTGAAATACATACACATAGATAGAAAATTTTGAAAGCAGTTTTAGTTATAGAATCCAAGTACCCAACTGTAGCTTACCTATCAACTTCAGGTTAAGAAATTCTGGCCATAGCTGTGGACCAAGATTTTGCAATCTAGTCTTGTCACTGGTGTAATGTTGCTGCTTTTGGAAGTCCTAATCTCCATCTTAGGAGTGGCTACTTGCCAGCAGTAATGCAGACTGTCACCATCATCTAGTTACAGCTCACAACTTTCCCTATAGCATAACTATGCAGTAACCAGACAGTGAAAACTGGACCATGATGGTCCCTGGAAAAGTAGTTATTTAGACTTCATCAGGTTCTATGCTAATTGCAGATACCATCCATTAATTGGTAACCTTGTGCTTATATAATTAGAATTTTTCAAAGAGGTTGCCGATGAGAAGATACACAAATATTTGAATTAATTTATCTTATTTTGCAGCAGTTTCCCACCTTCCCCTACTTCTCTACAACCATTGGTTTAGATCTGATCCCAGCACTCCGGCTTTAAGTTAGGCTGAAAGAATGTGTTGTTTCAAGGCAGTGCTACAAAGAAGCTTGCTGAATTCAGAATGTTTCCTTGAGTATTCGAAAGAGAGAAAAAAGAGTATGTCAGGGATTATGGTTGTATATGGCATTACTGGTTATTCTTACGTTGAGGCTGCTTGAGTTTTACCAAAGAGGTAAGAGGTAGGAATAAAAATTTAAACTCATTGGGAGGGGTGCAAGTTGTAGCACTCCAAAATCTTATGACTATAGACTATCTACGGTTAAAAGAACATATGGGATGTGAACAGATCCCAGAAATGGGTTGCTTTAATTTGTCTGATTTCTCTCAGACTGTTCAAGTACAGTTGGACAATATCCATCATATCATAGACAAATTTTCAGAAATGCCTAGGGTGCCTAAATGGTTTTCTTGGCTTCACTGGAGATGGATGGTAATTATAGATTTGCTTTGTTTATGTCACCGTATTCCTATTATGTTAATATGTGTGTGCAAATTAGTTAGTAGTTTAAAACCTATACATACTTAAGGTACTCTACAAGAAGATATGTCAAAGAAATAATCAATCCTCCCATGTTTCCTTCATATGCTACATCTATAGCTTTTCTTCTTCCTTCCTAATTACAACCCTTAAATAGAATTCGTGCCTCATATCGAATTTACCGAGTATCATAATTCCTCCAGGTGGTAAAGATACCTCGAGACAAGTGCTGGGCATAGAAGCCACAGGGCATAAATCTGCAAAGAAGTAAAAAGCTAACCTTTGCAAACAATATGGCTTCTCTCTCACTTACCAACTTTACATTTCCCTGTATGGCCCCGGAAGATGACTGGTTAGCCAGAGACGGGTAAGATTCCTCAAGGGAGGAACAACCTAAGACAGGCACAGTCGCAGGGGGGCCATCAGGTGAGAATTTGGGGATCAACAGAGGTGAGGCTCAGAACCTCACCCCCCCTGCTTTGAGAGAAATCTTCTGCATCCGTGGATGTCTTGCTGCCCTTGTCTAGCCTGGATTAATACTTAGTCCATAGGCACACACCTGATCATCTGATCATCTACATTTGCCTTCTTACAGCACTAAACTATGTTTTCTACCTTTATCTTGCATCTACCTACCACTTCAGCATTTTATTAAAAATAAAAATAATAATAATAATAGGAGAAATGTGGGATCAACATATAAATCAAGTACAAAAATCAAATGAATATTCATATTTGACCTGATGGTTTATAGGTCATATTGCATGATCAAAACCGAAAGTTTCTGTGATGAATGCCCTTGTACTGTTCACCATGTAAGAATTTATTCACTCTGTAAGAATTCGTTCACCATGTAAGAACTTGTTCGTTATGCTTCAGAAGATTGGAGACTGACGAGAATTAGGCTTGAGATGGATTAATGATTGTGCATTGAGCATTGACCCCCCCTATACAGAATTTTATTGTTGTTAACAACCATTTGATCAATAAATATGAGAGATGCCCTCTAAAAAAAAAATTTTAACTCATTATCTTGCAACATTTTACTCTTCGGCAACTTTACATCATCTTACTTCAGATATTTTAGTTGATTCTGGAAGACATGAGGACATCGCTGGCCAACTAACTGAGATAGGAAAGTGACTGACTGTCAGAGGCAATGTTTCTCTTCAAATGGGACATGTATTTCAAAACCTATCAAAATATTCTAAGGGCCACCTGAATTCTTCATCCCCTAGTTGTGATGACTTCATGTGTTTGAGATACTACTATTTTAAATTGGTTTGCAAACCCACAGGAAGTAGGATGTCATTTTTCCATGATAAATTAGTTCACAGAAAATCTGAAATCAGTGAACAACTCTTCTAAGTAACTCTATACTATGGATGTTGTTTAGCTGAGCTGAATGAATATATTAGTACTCATTAGTAGGATTATAGTCATAAAAGAAATAGGAACCAAAACTTTGAAGTAGCTCATATTCATCGGAATTAAGGAATGAGCTGGAGAGAATCTTGGGTTTTACTGCTGTGTGTGAAAAGTGTTGGTGGAGATAGTAAAAGTCCTTTAGAGCCAACAGGCACATGTTTTTCCGACAACCAGATAATGAAATAAACAGAAACAGTGATCAAAGGACACAGTCTTTCCTTTTTTACAATAATGAAACCGGGATCATGTATCAATGTATATTTCTTCCTCTGACCTATTTTAGTTTATTTGATTAAAATTAATTACATATACTTTATGCTTTAAAAACTTGACTTCTGTTCTTATGAAGTTATTGTCTCAGGTAGATTATAGCTTTGTGTTAAGTCTTTGTAAGTTACAGACATTCATAAGTATAGGACATTCATTTCATTACTAACTTTTTAGTTATTCACGTATAACATCTAGGGAAAATGTTCCTTAAATGTTGCTTTTCTTGGCTATTTCCAGCAAATAGTGGAATCTTTGCAAACTTATGTCTTAAAATTTTTATTTTTGAATGTATAGTCTCTAGAAAAGCTATACTTAGATCTACCTCATGCTTTTCCTAAGTGAAATAGTACCATACAAATTTAGGTAAGCTATTAATACATACTAGATTGCTTTTAGACTTAGATCTCCATTGCTAACCTGATTTGGATAATCCTGTTGTTTGAGTGAGAATGCTAATTATGGATAGGGGAAAAAATTGGGGACAAAAGATAGAAAATAATTTCTAATCTATAATTTTGTCACTTTCAAAGTTATCAGGAGTCTTTGAGATCATTTAGTCTAATAATTTCCAAACCTGACTTTGCATCAGAATTAAAATTGGTGGTGTTGGGAAGTGTGGATTACTTACGTAAATTCCTAAGCATCAACCTAGATTTAGTAAATCAAATCCTCTAGGAATGGGTTCTCTAGTTTTCAAAAGCCCCCAGGAGATTCTGACATAGCTATTTCATGGGCATTTGGGAATCTCTGATTTAGGCTGAGGTTCTTTCTTTAACAGATGAAGGAATGGATTTAGAAGGAAAATGAAAATCCCAAATCACACAGTGGATCAGCATTGGAATCTTTAACTCTGTGCGTGTCTGAGTGTGTGTTTTCATTTACACCACAGTACCTCTCCATCATGAAAAAGCATGCTTTCTGCAGAAGTTTCATAGTGTCCTGCTGGCCATCTACAGAGTATTTCAGGTCAATCTGCCTGGCAAGTCAAACATCTTATCTTTAGGGTTGCTCCCAAAACTAGTGCAAATGGACCATTGACTTGAATTTGGTGTTGCTGACCTGAAGCATTCGACTAAGGAAGCGATGGTGAGTGGTGCTGGCTTGAAAACTGCCCATGGTGTGAAATGAGAAATAGCTGTAAGTGATCAAAACTCTGTGAAGGCCCTCCAGGCTCTGACATTTATTAGCTGCTGCTACACTTTAACACTTCTGTCTAATCAAAGGTGACTACTACTGAGTGGGAAA